AAAAAAAACGACTGGTTTATAGTAAATTGTTATCGTTTTTTATGTTCCAGCAAAAAAAACAGATTGTTCAAATTGAATTCTAAAACACTTTTGATAATATTCAAATCGACGAATCTCCAAAACAGACGATGTCTTACTGAGTGTACTGAGTACAGTGAAAATTATACGAATCATTAAAATTCTTATCTTTTGCTGTTCTATTCTTCATCGACTCTGAAATTTTCGAATAAAAAAAACGTACCGCGCGAGAGGCACGGCGACGCGCTGTCATAGCTGCCCTGGGACGAGTTCTGATGTCTGAGCTTGTGCCTGGAGCCGGGCCTGCTCACCGAGAGCGTGTTGCCGCATTGCGCCGTGCACTGATTATTGCAGATGTTCAGCGTGTTCGGCCTGCGCTGCTCGGACTTGTGCTGATTGTTCGGCGCGCTCGGCGCGAGATTCGTGCTTTTCGGCGAGTGCTGCAGCGCCTGGCCGGACCTGGACGGCGACACCGGGGTCTGCAGCAGGCCCGGCCGCTCGCTCTGATTGTTCTTCACGCAGTTATTGCATTTCTGAATGATATTCGCGCCCGCGAACTTGGAACGATGGTTCTCCAACTTATTGCCGTTCGTCGGAGAAGTGATGCTCTTTGGTGAGTGTATCTGAGAGGGACTAGATTGACCTGCGCGGACAAAGTTCGAGAATCAAGACTAAAACGTAAAGAAGGGAGGAGAGAGAGAGAAAGAGAGAGAGAGAGAGAAAATTGTGCGCTCGTCTCACCATTTCGCGACGGTGTCCGGCAGGTCGGCGAGGTCGCGGTATTGCGCATTTGCTTGGGAGATTGAGCGGGGCATAAGTTGCTGTTGTACATCGACTCGTTGTTGTTGAGCTTGGCGCCGTTGGAATTCGGCGAGAGGCTGCACACGATCCTCTTCTCGCCGTCCGCGGACTGCGGACTGTGCGGCGACGACGAGCCGTTGCCGCCGTGCGGTTCCCGCGGCGGTGATGTCGACTCTCTCATGGCATGACTTCTGACCAGCAGTTTCAATTTCGCAGTATTCGTCTGCAACACGCATCGCGGGGACACTCGCGATAATAATAATTCTCATAATCATTGTAAACGGAAATTTCTCACTGTCATAGTCGACAAATTGAAATTTCAATAATAAATACTTTACATCTGTGTTTCAATTGAAATTTATATTATTGACGAATCAATTGTACACGTGTGAATTAATTTTGTTTATATAGAAAAGATTATCGAAATTTGAATAATTAATAATAAAATTAAATAAAATCATACAACACTGCTGTGGAGAATGTTATTACATCTTTTTTTGAAACTTGTATTATTAATTATTTGATGGAAAATGTTAATATCGCCTACACATCGCTGATAGATTACAATACATTAAATTCGTGTTTATTATTCAATATCGCGGAATTGGAACACGTGAATAAACAATGAATTAATCGTTCGCTCTTCACATATTCTTCTTTATGCATACATTTTTTTCGCTAGCTTAATGACTTCTCGGCGAAGGCTCGCAATGAGAAGAGGTGCGCGCGAGACTTGAGCGGGCGGTAATGTGATGATTAATGAATCGCACACATACTCGATTGCGGAAGATCTTGTTGTCGGTGTCCGATTTGTCGGGTGGCGGCGGGCAGGAGGACGCGGGACGGTGGAGCGAATTCGTTGCGGGGGTGGTGCTGACGTTGGGGTTGGCATTCCCGTCTATCATATCCGACTCCGAGGCGTCCTGGTGAGGTGCACCACCACCGGAGCCACCACTTACGGCGAGGCCTTGCCTGGAGGACGGCAGTGAGGGCATTCCTCCGCGCACCACCACCGTGGGGCTCTCAGGTCGGTCCTGCGACCTGCTTCCTTTATACACCACTATGCTTGGTACTGCAATCACCGAGTGCGTGAACCGCGATTATTACGTTATGCAGCTCTGCGATGAAAATTTCCGCGGGCCAGTTTAGTCGGCTTTTTCGGCGAAAATGTCGATCGCCTGCTTTTCAACTTTCGGCGTTCGATAATTTTCGAATATCTCTAAATTGAATTTTCAATGGAAGTTTCGCGAAGGAAAGGATCCACGCAAGATCAAAAATATGATTTTGTTATGAATTTTCTTTCTCGAAGCTTACGACATTTTCGTTGGAGAAGAATCGATCCTAAGCTGGCCGAAGAATCTGGAGTGAAGGAATATTCAACAAGACAGGGCTCAAGCAGGGTATAAAAGTGTTTCACAATTTGCGAATTTAATTGTAATTATAGATTCTTGATGTAATCTAAAATTGAATTTTTCTCAGCAAAAATTTATCTTAATTTTTCGATTTTTAACATCGTATATTTTGATCACTAAACTTCAGGATACTAATTCGATTAAAATTTCTTTAAAATTAACAAAAAATTTTCTCCTAATTTTTTACCATTTAATTTAAACAACTAAATAAATAATCCGAATAACTATCGCTTATTTTACTAATCAGGGAATCTATTATTGTAATGAAAATCACGAATTGTGACGACAGTCTATTACTATATTTATTACGATTTAAAATTTTGCAATCTTTTAATAAAAAATAAACGCTTATCTATCAACAATAAAATTTTATAATTCTTTATTAATAATGCTTTCAATCGGGTGCAAAATAATCTGTGCTACTGTGACGTAACTACTATACGTGCGCATTTAGCCGTGCGGTGGCTGCCGGTGACATTTCTACAGCGGAATTTATCAATATTGATGAACAACAAGATTGACAAACAACAGGCATCGATGCACCGTTCCACAAAATCGATCAGTCTTACATCAATTGAGTCGATAATTCGCGTCATTCATCGCCGAATGAACTCCGAAGAGAGTATTTCCGATACGCTCCCGATTGTTCCGTTTCCTTTGTGCAAATGTGCGTGTGCATATAATACGTGCATGTGTAACACTCGAGTACACACGTGGCATTAAATCGAGTTTTTCGCGAAAATTACGCGAAAAAGGGGAACGGGAAGACGAAGGGGGAAAAAAAAGAACAAAAAAAAATTCGACGTGGGCGGTGAAAGAGGCACACTTACTCTCCAGGCGGGCCATGTGTTAAATGCGTCATGGGATTACGGTGCGGTACTACACCCTTCAACCGGTGGGTGGTTTCGACACACGCACACACGCAGGTGCCCAACTCAGAGGTCGGTTAGTACGCGAATCTTCCGGGTGACGTGCAGCACGAAGGGCTGATACTAGGAGCCAGATCACTGCACGTCCACCTTCCGACATCGTACGCTCTGTAAGCAGACACAACACGCTCGTGACGCTCTCGTACGGGGAACGTGAGACGCGTTCGTGGAATTTCCGCGCCCTCCCCCTCGCACCCCGCGAGATATAAATAAGATAATGATAAAAAGCGAGGCTTAAACCCTCGCGCTACCCTGCGCCGCGCGAGCTTCGAAGCTCCTTCGGTGCAGTCATATCGAATTATGACGTCAAAAGCGAGAAATCGTGTCCATTTTTTCCCCTGGCTTTTCGTACGTGAAAAATGAATTGAATTCGCTTCGTCGCGCGTATTCAATGATGCGAAGATTCGTAAATTAATTCTCTGCAAATTTCAATGTATCATACGTGGAACGCTCACTCTCGAGAAAATTGAATGTATGTTTATTCATGCTTTCAATAAAGATGAAATTTTACGGCTGTTTCGTTGCTGAGAATAAATAAAAGGGAACATTTTTCATTATTTTATTCGATAAAGGAAATGATTTTTTTAACGGCAGTTTAAATTCGGGGCTGAAAAAGTTAATAAATGGCTACCGTTCATTTTCGATGGAAGTACACGATGCATGCGGATTGATTCGTACACATATTTACTAATGCAAGGTAATAAAATGTGGAGTTTCGATACATTTTCAATCCATATCGAACGCGAGCGGTAGCGTGCAAAAGAAGAATGATTTTATTTTGCACGGTGAGGGAAAATAATCAACTAACTTCATCGTAATGCAGTACTTATATAGCTGAAACGAGAGCCAGAATTATTCTATCCATCGATACTCGATTCATCGAGTTTAATTGGTCGCGTAAAAACGGCGACGGTACAAATCGCGTGCGATTCACTGTAGAGTTTCTCAAAGCTAATTGTACTATTGTTGAATAATTTTTTGCACTCTCTTCGCTGGTGTAACGCTCGCTGTCCAAGAAAGAGAAGCGACGGAGGAAAAAAAATTACATAATTATTATATAAGAATGTAAAAAAAGAGCTTCGCTTATCGCGAACTCGGCGGCGAAGACCACGTTGTTGTCTTTTACGCAAAACTCCATGTAATTATTCAATTGCGACGGCGAGCGGCTATGAATCACAAGGCTCTATAGGTCTGCGTTACACCATGAGTCACTTGTCGCGATCCGTCCGTCCGATTATTTAATGATGGAGTTGCCGTACGAACACTCCCGCGTACGACAACGCGATCGACAAATATTACCAGCGACACGTTATTACGTATTAAACGCGGGAATTATTGCGACATTATCGTAACGCGTCAATCGCCTTACGAAGACGTCGTGCGCAGACGAATATCACAACGAACGATAATTAACTCTCGTCAAAAAGTCCTTTACACGATTTTAATAATCCGATCGGGGGATAAACGCTGCGGGGGAAATCGTACTCGAAATTGTACGGCGCAAAATAAACGTGATATTCCGCGCGAACGAATGTAGCCAATAAAATGAGTGGCGCAGGCATCAGCATGCTTGATTAATTGCGCCCCCGCGCAATTTATTTATCGTTTCCCAATAATGCGACATCTGATTCGTGAATCAATCGCCGACTAATTAGCACATTAGCGTCACTTTAAATGCCGATGAAAATCAGCCAAGAAATTTCAATCTCTACGCTCTTTCTGCTTCGAAAAATTAAGTAGATTTCAGTCGACTCTAATTGAAGTTTAATATGAAAACGACTTATGTGTTAAATTATAACTGAAAGTGGCTCTTTGATGTACAGTCGGATGGAGGAAATAAAGGCGAATGGGAGTTGAGCATGATTGAGAGGCGCTGTACAGTAATTCGATTTACTAACCGCGTAGACAAAGTTTGAAGAACTTTGGTCCTTCTTTCCTTCTACTTGCCTCCGCGGTGAACTTTTTGAAAGCGCACTGATCGCATCCGTTCACATGTCGCTTTAAGTATTTCATGCTATTATTACTGTATTTGGAAAATAATTTTCAAACTTTAGTTCAATGTTAAATGAAAACTGTTAGTTTTCGAGAAACAAAATTTCTTAATTTTCCTCAAACTTGAATATGTCGCGCTCAAATAGTTTCTCGCCGACATATTAATGTTCAAAATTGAATCAGTTGAAGATTCGACGAGAAAAATGATTGTGCATGCAGCATTTTGTAAATCACGCTTGATTCTCACTCGCTTTCATTTTTCCCATCTACTTGATTTATGCTAAATTATTCAAAGAGTAGAAAAACGGCGCTAAATTATGCAAAGATGCGGATGACAATGGAAAGGCGAAAAATAGCGAGTCGTCAGTTTTGCAATTTACAGGAAAGAGTAAGCCAGACACGATAAGAACTGTTTCTTCAGTTGCTCTCGCTCTTTGTCGAACAAACCTCCAGTTGAGCTCGGTGGTCTCCATGGCGGCTAATTGCGAAAGCGTGCGAATCATCGCCCAGTTAAATTTAAACCGGAAATGCGACTACGTACACTCCGTGCACACTCTTCCTCCTCGCGTTTCTGCCGCATTCCTCCCCGCGCGCGACGCGGATAAATTTATCCTCCATTCTCGGTCGCGGCGCGCCGATCACGAGCCGCTCTCGATCGCCGTCGATCGGCTCGCATTTTTCCCGTCGCTTTCCTCGACCTCCGCGCGCTCTCCTTCCCTCTTCCTTTGTTTTCGCCCCTTTTCTCCCGATATCCTCTATTTTTATTTCCTCCGCGTCCTTGTGCACAAACAAACGCGCGTACTCTCAATGGCTATCGATCGACACGCGCATCGTTCATCTTCATTCCCGCCTCTTCTCTCCGGTCGTCTTCATTCAACCGAACTTTCACCCGCTTTCCGCCGATCGAATCACCTTGATCGACTCGATCGCGCCCCCTCCCGACTCTTCCTCTCGGCTTCTCCTCGCGCCACAGGTCGGCCGAAAAAAAAAAAAAAAAGAGAGTGCGAGATCCACTCGATTTCGTTGAATCGTGAACCGTGTTTATCAATCGATCAGTGTCCTTCTCCTCAATTTCCCTTCTTCCACCCGAACACTCGTCTTATCTCATAAACGCGTCAAATGATTTAGCGAAGCGTTATCGGCCGACTAGCCGCGTGTATTTTACAGCCGATAAACGCGGCCAGCCTCGTAAAAGCGACTCGAACCGAAGGCTGTTTACCGATCGGAGCACAGCGGCCGATTTTTCTTCCTCCTCGTCTCTCCTCCCCCCCCCCCTCGTCAATGTCGCCCGGCTATTACCACGGGGGAGTCCTAAGGGTCGCGTCCCGCTCGTAAAAGCGCCCGCGGGATATCGTCTCTCTTCGCCCGCGAGCGGGAAATATGACCGGGCACTGAAACCTCACCGAGAAGGGGCAGGCGCGCGCGAGTGATGACTTTGTTACGGCAAGCAGCGTCAACGTGTATCGGCCGTTTTACGGCCGAGTGTCCAATTTGTTGCCGCGCTCTCTCACGACATTTTCACGCCGACGGCTTTATCCGACGGCGAACGAGATTAATTAAGTAGATAGAGCTGCCGCACACCGTGGATCGACAACCCCCCCGGACACCCCCGAGCGACAAACGGAATTATCGGCGAGCCGTTATTTCCACGAGCGCGATTCCTCCGCGAGTTGTCACAAGATCGCGATCTCGCGGGCGAGATATCGTCGATCGTCGGTTCACAGGAAAGTTGTATATCGATATTGAAACTCCGTCCGATGCCCCAAGATCGGCGCACGTCGGCGTGATCGTTGTTCTCGCGGTCGATCGACGATCTCGAGGGGGATCGATCGAGCGGAAATGCGGACCGTCGCGCGACCTTCCGGCCGCGATTCTCGCTTTTTCGCGGGCCACGCTTTGGCAAGGCTCCGCGGCGTCTCGAAAATAGCAGAACTCTTCTCTTTCTCTCTCTCTCTTGCTCTTTCCGCTCGCGTTTCTCACGCGCGCGGAATTCGCCGCGTTTTTCCCGACTTCTACGTGCCGTGTGTTCCGCGGGGAACCGGAGAAACCGCCGGGCGACGGAAGAAAAAGCGGCGTACGATGGGAAATGTGTGGCGATAGACGCGCGGTCGTCCCGCAGCCGAGATTCGGCGAGGAGAGACGAGAGCCTGGACCAGCAGCAATCCGCCGAGTGTAGCGTCGCGTCGCCGCGGGACCGCTTTGCGCGAGAGACTGAAGCGCGCGCGCGGCACACGGCTTACCCGGGTCGAGGAGGGAGCGGCGAGGGGGTGGACGGCACGTCAGAGGGAACGGGAGCGTCACGAAGCCAGGGCGAGAGAGAGAGAGAGAGAGAGAGAAAGAGAGAGAAAGGGAAAAGGAGACGCAAAGTCTCGGCTCGCGGAAGCGAGAGCGAGAACGAAAGAGAGAGAGAGAGAGAGAGAGAGGACGAAATCACGACAAGAGCGATAGAGACAGAGAGATCCGATAACGGGGCGAGAGGGTGAGGACAGAGACATCGCCATCGCCAGGCGGGCATCACGGACGGAGATACGAGGGGTATCGGGGGGAGGGAGAGAGAAAGCGATCGGGATGATTGGAAGGAGATGGTGAAGCGCGGAGAACAGCGGCGGAGAACGGAGATGGGTGATAACAGCGAGGGAGATAAGGAAAGAAGAGAGAGAAAAGAGAGCGGGGGAGTGAGACGTGTGTCGGCGGAGTGCACGCGTGCGCGCGTGTCCACCCGTGTATACCCGGTGTACGCCGAGTTACACGCTGCTTTCTCGAGTTTCACCCCGCCGACCCTGGGACTTTATTCCGGCAGAATCCGAATGTCTGCCCTGTGAAACGCCGCTACTACTTATCGCGCGAAAACGCTCCATTCATTGTGCGCGAAAGGCGCGAGAGATTCGGCGCCCTTCTCGGGATAAACCGAAGCCGAGCTTCCTGCCGACGGTTTCGATTCGTGGGAGCGACTTCCCCGACGACGGTTTAAAACTCACGCGGCCGAATTTGCGACAGAAATCTATTTATAATTTCGCACGACATATAACACATGGGGTGTATTTGAAAAGGGCGGAATGCACACGTGCGCGAAGCATGTGTGCGATGTGTATTTTGTATGCGCGTATTCTTCACGTGCTTTCTATTATACCAAACGTCAATAATGCCTTTTATATTTCCGGTTTAGGGCTTTTCGGGTCATCGCACAAATATCATGCGTCGTGATTCAAGACTGCATTTGACAGTTTAGCATCTCGAATAGCTTGACATGTGCAAAATGTTAAGTGTAAAATATCAATAGCTCGTGGAATAAATAAATTATTTAATAAAATTGCGGCTGTGGATTTTCCATCGATTATTATCAGGTTTTATCGATATGTTCGACCCGAAAAATCCTAAACTGAAAGTGCAATGTATTATTGACGCTTAGCATGCTTGAAATCCAGGCAATTTATAATTCACAACGGAATTCGAATTTCATGTGCATTAGGCACAGGGGAATTTTGAAAAATTAAAATAGACAAATGTGTAATACATACATTTAATAATTCACATTTTCTTTCGATTTCTCGACTATTTTTTATTGCATTATTAATAGATTTCTATCTCGAATTTCATCGTGAATTATAAATTTCTAAAGCAGGCTTTAGAAAAATCGAGCGGAACAGGCATTGGTCTTTAATCTTTTGATGCGCAAAAGATTAATGCAATAAAAGTTTAATTTTCAAAAATGTATTACTTAATTCGAAATCGGTCTAACAAATATTAAAAATATATAAACAATGAATTTTATAAAATTTTAGTAAATTTTACTCGATCAATAATTATGGTATTGTAAACTTTGGGGAAAAAGTTTAGAAGGGGAAAATGCGAGAAAAAAAATTAACAAGCTGATTTAACTATTAATAATTAAATGATAATCAAACCTTTTCCAATAAATACTAAATATCAGGGCAATGCAATTTACAAGACAGAGGTTTACGTTCGCTTTGAAACGACATTCGATCTAAAGCCTTTTACCGCAATCTGTCTTCCGATATTCACCGGATGTTGATGGATTCTCAGCTCAGACAAGAGAGACGGATGTCACTTCCATTATCCTTTTCCTTCATCGCAATCGCAGAAGACAGAATTAAATCGCGAGGAAGAACCGCGAATGTAAAAAGAAAAAAAAGCGCGCACAAGCGAAGCAAATATTATTATTTGCAATAAATATAATTACCTAAATAAATTCCGAGTTTCCACGCGAAAAGAGTAAGACAGAATTGCTCTCGATTCCTCGTTATCAAAATTTCCGATAGTTCTCGAGAGAAAGAAGGAACGCGCGCGCGCGCGCGCGCGCGTGCGGATACGCGGACTGATATCTTAGGAGCACGTATTTGATCGTTAATCACGAAAACGGCGAAAGCGGGGGTGACAAAGCCTTTTCCTGTCCCACATTCGCGAGTCGCTCTGCTCCCGTGAACCAGTGCAGCGGTCGGCACGCGTGAGAGAGCGTGTGCGCGCGCACGTGCAACCGAGAGTGCGAATGGTGTCTATGACCCATATAACACGCCCAAGCGTAACTAGGTCGTGTACCCCTGTATTCCCTGGAATAATACAGGGTGTCCCGATCGAATATGCCGGATATAGATTCGGCCGCCATACTCGCGCACGCACGGGATCCTCGTCTCGTTTACTCGCGCCGCGCACACGTCGCGCGGGGATGAAGCGTTGGATAAATTTATCCGAACAATAAATAAGAGCGTCATCTCGGGCAAAGCGGGAGCGGTATAAAATATATATCGTTCGTTTAATTGAATTGATCGTGCGCGATGCAGAACAAATATTGATACCGATCTGCGAAATGAAACTTTTAACCGACCACCCGAGATGCTTTCCCGACGTCGTCCTGCGGTTGAAAATTTGCTCCGCGGAGCAAAACATTTGCCGCGTATCGGCGAACGACGTAAGAGATATCGAATCGGATATAAGAGACACATTGTCTCGCGAGATTGATTTTATCAGGATCCGTGCGGGACGCGAGCAGGAGGTGCTCTCTCGGTTTACCGACGACGACGACGACCGATCCCGGTTACCCCCGCGCAAATATTTTCCCCGCGACCCTAAAAACTCCTCTCGTGATAGAAATCGATTGCAGGCGAGACCGCGCGCTTACGCGATGCGAGAGGAACAGAGAGAAAGAGAGAGAGGGAGAGAAAGAGAGAGAGAGAGAGAGATCGATATGATTTCACGTCCCGTCCGTCGCAGAAGGCAAAGCCCGTGATTAATTAGATATCGGATAATTCTGCCGTCGCGATTATTAACTGGCCAACAGTAACGCGACGCTGAGACATTCGACTCGGGAGTTTATCGAACGCGCGCCATTCTCAGACGAATGGAATTAGGGTAAAATTAGATCTCAAAGTCGCGAGAAACTGTGTACAAACAGATGCAAATGAATTTATAGAGCATCGCAGATTTAGCCGATCATTTATCAGAAGCATAGCTGTGAATAGATTTGTGCAACATCGGTGGATTCAGCCAGTCGTTTATCGCCAAATAAACGGGGATAAATCGTAAACGAATTTATACAGCGGACCGTCAATTTCGATGAAGTAATCCTTCTAATCGATAAATAGAAATAGCGAAACGAGAGGAATAAAACTTTATCCATCCGCTCGCCCACGTGAGGCTCAATTTCCGAAACTCATTACGAATCAATTCGTATCAATTATGAGTTACATAATTCAGCTGCGTCACTTATATTAATCGTAATTTATATACAATTTACGTTATTGTTAGCCGTGCAGCCTCTTCAAATTATCGTCGGGAAAAAGAAAAAAAGAATATCGATTCGATAAGTCTGCGCAACGATCGGGGGGCTCATGTGTCATCAATTGGAGACAAACGAATTACATAATTCCTTAATGCAGCCGGCTCGTCGTTCGCCGACTATTATATTTACCGCCGCGCATATTGCGACACCAATCGCAGTAATGGAGCGGATCGGCCACATTCTCCGAGTCAAACGTCTCCGGCGGATTCTCCGCTCCGCCGGCGGCACCTAATTCCGAGGTCTAACCCAATTTTCGCGGGAGAGATGACCTAGGTGCCAAGTACAGGCAGGAAGCAAGCAGAGAGAGAGAGAGAGAGAGAGAACACACGTTACGGCGAGCACACAAGCACACAGGATGTTCCGCGGGAGACCTCTCCGCGGGATGGGGCGAGCGAGCGAGAGAGAAAGAGAGAGAGAGAGAGAGAACAAGAGGGTTAGAGGCCGCCCACGGCAACCCCTCGCCCACTCAGAGGGGATGTTCCGTGTTCAGTTTCAGCGATACCAGAGTGCCGGTCCGATGCACCCCCTGGTCGCCATGGAAACGACCTACTCTCCCTGGACGGGACGCGCATCGGGCACCCTCGTGCCGCGCGCGCGAGAGTTAAACATTCGAATAAGGATATCCGCTCGGGCCGCTCTTTGAACTCGCCCCGCGCAGCTCCTCGCGGCAGCAGCAGCAGCAGTCCGCTGTCAACTCTCCTCCGGCGGATGATATCTCTGCCCCCCCCCCCCCCCTCTTTCGTCCGGTATGAACGCCGTCGGCTACTCGCGCGGATAAATACTTGACATTCGGCGACCCGACGCAGTCAAGGGATCGTTTCCGACTTTATATACCGACTGTACATCTCGGAATTTTTACGGCTTTCATTCCTGTTGCTGCGGCTTTCGGATTTTCGGAGCGACGGATTTTGCGCGCTGCAAAGATGTACCTTAGGAGCGACGACGTGCTTGTTTACAATCCTCTCGTTATTGAAAGCGACTGTAATTGCCCTTCATTTGATTCGTAGACGCTGAAAGATCGAGCGAAAGACAACTTTAAGAGGGTAAGATGCGCGCGCGCGCGCGCGCGTTTAAATAGCAATTCAAGTTTTAATCTGGAAGACGCGATAGAATTCGACATGGAAATTGGCTTATAATTTTGTGGATAGTTAAAATAGAATCGAAATAAACACATATAAAATGCCTGTCATTGAATATATGTGTATATTTTAAATATGTCTGTTCTGAATTTTTCAATTCTTCTCTGCATTAAACATCGCATGAAATTCTAATGGAATTCTATCTCAAAGTCTGCTCCAAAAAAAAATTACAAGGTGAAAAATAGAAAAAACACAAAAAATCAATAGGGGAAAAAGACTCCAAAAACCAAGCGTGCGTGCAGACTTCAC